CGGTAGACGAAATGATTGGTCGTACCAGTGCTCGAGGCTGCGTTCCACAATGGCAGTGATGTTGTCGCTGGTTGGCTTCTGAAATACACAGAAAAAATAAAGATAAGAATTTTGTAAGTATGACAGGTACAAACGCGGTCTATTCGAAGACTCTCAAGGAACGTGACTTGTATATTTCGCGGTCGGATCGTGACCTACGGTCATACGTTCTTTGAAAATGATCTCGACAGGAGAAAATTATCGAAAGATAATGGAAAGTTAAAAGGAACAGATCTAACGATTTTTGCCAGAGTCGAAAGGTCTCTTACGGTGAAAACGTTCCGCTAGGTGTAGGCGGAGTAAGAGAGAGAGAGAGAGAGAGAGAGAGAGAGAGAGAGAGAGAGAGAGAGAGAGAGAGAGAGAGAGAGAGAGAGAGAGAGAGAGAGAGAGAGAGAGGGAGTAAGAAGAACGCGTGGTAGGAGCGGCGGAATATCCTGATCTTAGCGAAGGCCGCCTGGTGCATTCTAGGCGAGCAAAAACTGCATAGAAAACCACGCCCTAACCTGGCAAACAGCGAGATCGCATGTCCCCGTCAGGGACACATTTCTCCGTGGAAGCTCGTCGTCCTAACTTCGAATTTCGTCGACTCAATCAGTCAATGACCTTCGAAAAGAAAACTTAATTTGAACAAATCGGATCAGAATAAATTGTTAATATATACCCGATTCATAGATTCTTTTTCGAATCATCAATCGATCGATCGATCTAAGAGAACGCATACGGATATACAATTTTACACAACACACAACCCACGTTCTTCTACCTACTTCACCTACCTACCGACCAACCCACCGATCTACCTGTCTGCCCGTGTCTATTCCGGCGCGTTTTATCGCTAATCGATATAATATATCTTCTGGCACTCGCACTGACATCGGTTTGCTATAACGTTCGCTCGCTCGACGGCCTTCGTGACGATTTCACCGAGGTCGCGTCACTTGCTTGATCTTTTTGTGCGCATGAGTCTCACTATCTTGTTTAACTTTTTGATGCGAATCTCGTGAACGCGCTTCCGTCGTTGCTTCACTTCAAATTAATATTTTATTACGACAGATTAATACTAAGACGATGAATTTTAATCTCGGCGGTGATGGTCGATAGCGAGAATTATGTAAAAATGATAAAGTTCAAAGGTCGAAAGGTCTCGAGATGATCCTTCTGTAGAAAAGACGTTCGAGAAACTCGCGAGGATTGCCGGGCGTGCTACATAGAGGAGCGTTAGAGTCGAACGGTGAACGTCGAGAGGAAAGTTCACTTGCACTTTCCACGGCATTCTTCTTTCTGGGCCAAGTTCAACCAAAAAGGTGTCATGAAACTTTTTCCATCTACTCTCCCTTCTCCCCTATGTTCTCTTTCTCTTTTAAGTAGATGGAAAGGTGTACCTAGGCTAACGTCGGAGCATCTCTCTTTCCTCTTTCCCTCTCTCCATTATGATGGAAGAAGAGAAGACGAGAGGAAGCCTATCGCTCTCTCTTTCCGTTTCTATTTTTCTTCTTTGCTATGGACGTCACGCGAGTGCACGCATGAGAAGGAGGATCGGGAAAGGTGGATAAGAAAAAAGGATGAGAAGGAACGTATAGATGCTTGGGTTCTGTAAAAAAAATAAAACTAGGCAACTCGGAGTAGACCGTTAGATCGGCTATCTTCTCTCTCTCTCTCTCTCTCTCTCTCTCGTCTTTCTTTTCTCTTTTTCTTTTTTTCTTTCTTTCTTTCTTTCTTTCTTTCTCTCTTTTTCTTTTTCGAGGAAGTAAAAGAATGAGAAAGGCAAAGGAAAAGGAAGAAAGAAAGAAAGAAAAAGAGATACCTAACCTAAGGTACGAAGAGAGTCTGTGTTGGAGACGCGGCGTGCTGCAGTTTGCCCGTGAACTTGCCTCTCCGTCTCTTGCTGCCCGCTCTAAGCTGACCTACTTTCTTGCCTTACCGATATGTATTCTCCAACCTTTTCCACAAGACTCACAATAAACGTTCTAATCGACTATTGATGGAATCGTGCTAACGTCAATCATTGTTTCTTTTATTTTCTCTCTCTTTCTCTCCCCCCCCCTCTCTCTCTCTCGCGAAAGACACTTTTTGCCAGCACGTTTCACCGCCCCAAATCGTGAGCGGAACTTTTCTTCCGTGTCACGGACTCGCACTGGTACCGCGACCGTTCTAGAAAGTCGAGTAGTTGAAGCGGTTAAAAAAAAAAAGAAAAAGAGATAGAAAAATTATAAGAATCCGTGCGAGTAAACACGAGTTTGATCGGAGACGTGTCGTACATTCGTTTCATAACGACGATGCTGATTCTTGATAGAAATTTCATTGTCGTTTCCCGTTTTCCTTGGGCCGCTTCGTTTCCCACTACAGTTTAACGACGCGCGTTTCCTATTCGAGAATATGACGAAGATGCGTCTCCGTCTTGATAGACTTGCCGAGTCTACTAACGCAGACAACGCCATAACAGCATTAATTTATCGTGTGGGAATGACGTCTCGGGGGCGTTATCCGCTATCTCTTTCTCGTGCCGTCCGGGAGACTCCAATCGAATAAACGAGTTATGCTGGCGTTGAAATGATGCATGAAGCAAAGAATTGATCTATATTTTCGCCTACATTAGCTCATCGAACAACTATATCAACACTTTTTATGGGAATCTTTGATCTCATCAATATATTTATTTGTTACTTTCATCGTCGTATTTAGTTAACGCATTCGTGAAAGATATTTAATATAAACACTGGATATATAACATATTTCCAATAATTCTACAGTTCTAATATGAATAAATCCAATTTTTAAGAATTTAACTGATAGTATTTACAATTTGTGATTTTAATTCGTTTATTCTTTTTAACATAGATCTTGTCATAAAATATTTTAAATTAATAAATATATAATGTATCCAATCTATTGGATATAAATAATAATACGATCATTGTAGATTCAAAGAGAGATTTTCGACAATTCGAATTTACAATATTTCCCATATATAGCACAGAGAGGCAAGGATTTATCGATGGGTCTCTAGCAGACTCACAGGACGTGTTAGATTGGACGTGGTAATGCGCGTGTACTAGGATAATCACGTTTATATAACGAGTCATTTCCCGCGTCCACGTGATTCTCTCGTCAAGGCGATCCGCTCACCACCACCGATGTACCACCAGCACTTCTACCACCGTAGGCCACTAACGGTCACTGGTACAACCACCTAGACGCGATGCCTTCTTTTCCTCGTTCACCCATATTTTTCTCTCTTTTCATTGGATACCAAGATATACGGCACGTTTCGTGCCAATTGAGAAGAAAAGGAAATGTTTATAGGATCAGAGATTTCTCGTCGATTATTTTCTTTTTTTTCGCCAAATGAACCGATTATACCTTACACTTTAAAAAGTATCAGATTTTCGTTCTGCAAATGTCTTATTTGTTTCGAAGCAATAGCCTTGCTAGAAAACAAATCTTAATCACACTAGAAGGTTCCTATTCCCGCGAACATAACTCCTGTTATCGGATCTTATATCGATCGTGCGAACGACAAACGATCTCTCTCTTACCTTTACTTTGCATCATAGTGATAAGTGTGCCACGCGTCGTCGAGGGTATCCACTATCCGGTTTGACGAGCGCACGATCCCAATTAACTACCACGCGTAACGATCGAGAAAACTCGAGGTTGATCAGAATTTCGTCTGCCAATGGTTACAAAAATATCTTGGCGTCTTGCTGGCGGCCAGGAGGTACAAACTCACGAAAGTACGAAGTTCGAAAAACAGGAGTATCATCGATACTACAAACGACTGTATTATTATAATTGGAGAATCCACGAAAGAGTGGTGCTTCACTCGCAAAATTTCGGAGATCCTTAACAATTCCTAAATAACTTAGTTACGAGCTCTGTAGTCATCAGTTAACGGGCTAATTCCTTTCAAAGAAAAACGATTTCAAGTCCACCGTTCTTCGTAGCGCTTTGTACGTACATATCTATCTACATACATACATACATGCATTGGAACTTAATTGCTTCGAAACTACCTCCCATCGTTCGAGCGTTGAAGACTCGTAAACGAAATTCAATTTACCCAGCAGCTATTGGGAATCTATCATACACGGAAAACGACGGCTTTATTAGAAACGGCCGATCGCGAGTTCCGTGCAAAAGATAATTTAAAAGCTAAATTAGAGAGCGGCCGAGTGAGAATTTCATTCCTTATCTTGTTCAACATTTATTTCTGGGCGCAAGCCAATAGTGGGTCCCTTAGAGAATTTTAAGAACAATTTCGCGAGTCTTGCAAAGGCTTCGTAGGTGTTGCGAGATACCAATGCATTCCACAGAACGCCGGTAATGGAACGCTAAAGAAGCTGCTGCTGCTGCTTCTGGCGTTGCTGCCTCGAAAGAGAAAGAGAGAGAGATAGAGAGAGACAGAGAGATAGAGAGAGACAGAGAGAGAGAGAGAGAGAGACAGAGAGAGAGAGAGAGAGAGAGAGAGAAAGAGAGAGAGAGAGAACGGAGGAAGAAGAACTGGAGGAAAAGAGAAAGAGGAAGAGTACTGGAGACGTTCGCGGAGAGAGAAATAGTGGAGAGGAAAAGAGAAGGAGAACTCAGGCAAAGGAGGTCTAACCGGCGTAAATGCCACTGGTTGGCATTATGCCGCTTGCCCGACTAGACCTTCAATGCATCGAACACATCCTGAGATATGCCGCCCGTTGATGACTGCTTCGATATAATCGTGATATCGTTCGTCTACGTCCAGGATTAAACGGTGCCGAGGGATTAAGCTTTGAGGGAATTTCGTGTTGCGCTACGTCAGCTCTGGCCCGTTTTATTATCCTTAGGCAAAAAGACGCCGCAGCTCTTACGTCGTTGACGTCGATATTGGCCTTTCAAAATTTATATTTTCCATCTACCTTGCGTCGTGCCGGCGACGAAGCACGACACAAAAGGTTAACTTCGTTCGAAGGACGTTAAAACGATCTTTATTGTCGTTATTATCATTCTTATTGCAACTATCGAATCGTTTGGTTCGAGCAATTTTTCGTATCTAGAAAGAAACAATCGGATTTTATGGTTCTAAAAAAGCTTCTTCTCCGATTAGGAATTTTGGAGGATCGTCATTTTTCGTGATCCACGATGAGAAGGAATTTCGCGCACACTGTACAAGGACATCAAGAGTCTCCAACACGGAACTTGAACGATGAAAGACAGAAAGAAAGAGAGAGAGAGAGACAGAGAGAGAAAGAGAAAGAGAGAGACAGGGCCTCTCTACATGAAATTTTCGAGGGTCGAGACACAGCGAAGTAACGAAGTGCAAGAAAATGCTGGAAAGGTGGGGTGGATTCGAAAGGGTGGCGGTAGAGGGAGAGAATATCCAAGGAATGTCGAATTAAACTCCGGTCGGTCCAGTGCCGACGTGCAAGCCTTGCTGAGCGTGCTCTAGGATAGGACAGGCTATACTGGCACACGTTATTCTAGATAACTATATATACGCGTACCAGAGTATATATACTATTATATACCGGCTCCCATAGGAGAAGGAGTCGTACGAGGTGAATGAACTTCCGAATCTTCTTCTCCGAAAGGATAGAAGAAAAAAGACAGAGAAGCGTCAAAAAAAAGAAATGAGTCGGACTCTACGTTTGGAAATCAAGAAAGAAAGAGAAAAAGAAAGAAAGAGAAAGAGAGAGAGAGAGAGAGAGAGAGAGAAACAGAGAGAGAGAAAGATAGATAGATAGATAGATAGAGAGAGAGAGGGAGGGAGAGGGAAAGAGAGAGAGAGAGAGGGAGAGAGAGAGAGAGAAAGATAGATAGATAAAGAGAGAGAAAAGGGGGGGAGAGAGAGAGAGAAAGTGAAGTAGTTTATAGACTGGTATAGGATTAAATCATTTTAAGAAAGAAAAATGACGATAAATAACGAGATATTAATATGTTTCCGGTATTTATATTTGTTAAGTCTTTTTTGTTAATCCATCGATCATACGGAAAATTTTGAATAAATCGACACGTTAACTTAATATTTTTTGTAGATGTAAAAAAATAAATTGTGTTATTTTATTTATCTCAGATCTTATTCTTTTTAAATTCATTTGAATGACTCCTACGTGATTTCGTTGATGCTGGTTTTAACAAATGAAAAAAAAATTATTATATGGCAAATCAATCGGTCGATTGATCGGTAATGTTCAACATCACATGTGCTTTATCACGATCGAGTGATCTCACGATTTTGACGTTAATCGCGGTAGTCGCGCGTTGTCTATATGCGCAGCTATTATTATTCCGCAGCCGTGCTACAATGTAAGACACTTGGTCCGTAGTATGTAAGATATCGTGAATGTATTTATTGAGCTCAATGTATGTATGTATGCATGTATGTGCATACGACATATAGGTGAAGATGAAAAAAGATGCGCGAAAAAACGCGTTCGATCATAGTTCTTACAAGATCGATCTTTGTATTTCAAGGATGTTCGCTTTCCATTCTTTCCTGTTAATTTATCAACGAACTTATCTCGAAAAAGGGAGAGAATGAAGCTACAAAGTCAAAGAGTAACTCATGAAAAGTTTCGAATTTTCGAGCATGCTATGAGAATGACGCGACAATGAGAAAAGGATGAAGACAGAGTTTGCGAGTAGTCGCCCCGTGCTACGTAACCAAATTCAAATTCGTGGAGGTTGATTGTTATGCAAGGTACGTGCCCCGGTAGATGCCTGCCTGCCAAAATCTGTTGGCCCCGGGTTCGATAGCCATCGTGCGTCACTCGCACGGCACACCGGCTCTCTTCGTTCTAAAATCACGACGATGCGTCACGATCGAAGAACGAGAATTTCATTCGATACGTCTATTGCCGAGAGAGACGCCGAGAAGGAGAGGCAAAGAAAGATAGGGTGATAGGGAGATAGAGAGGAGAGGAGAGAAGAGAAAGAGAGAGAAAGAAAAAAGGGAGAGAGAGAGAGAGAGTAAGAGAAAGAGAGAGAAAGAAAGAGAGAGAGAGAGAGAGATCGAGTGAGAGAAAGAGGAGGTGGAGGAGAAGAAGAAGAGAGAAAGAACGCGCGAGTGCACGCGCGAGAGTAAGAGAGGCGATTGGCATGCAGGTCGCGCTGTATGTTGTCCTAGGTCACGCGTAATCTCTCCCCCTCCTGTCCCTCTATATCCCCACAAATAAAGTTTCCCTCTATTCGTTGCCTCGTCTATTCGTTCTATCTTCTATCGACGCTCATTTTTCAATTACTATCAGTGATTTCGGCGATATATCAAATACTTCTTGCACGATATACCTACATCTGAGAGGATATTTTGAGCAGATGAAGAATTTCTCGGTGACAACGATTATGTTGCACTGTGTAATTTTTATAATTTATCGATCTGTCTCACTCTTTTTCGCTACGCGGAAGTAGCGATCAGTATGCAGCCGGAGAACACCGGTATTTCTTTCAACATGTTCCAGTGTAATCAGAGCGTGTAGAACTCGAAATGGTACGCGT